GGTGGGTGTACAATGGCCCACAGTGTGGGAGCCCGATGTGGGAGCCCGATAAGGAGCCGGTTGCGGGTGTGGACTTAATGGGCTGCTCAAGAAGAGGAACTGACTGGGTCCAGCCAGGGCGTAAAACCTGGGTCAAGACAGCACACGCACACATCCTCACACACTATGTCACAGGACACAATATTCTTTAGAGAAATTTCTGTAAGTGGACCACAGATTTTGTTACTTCCCTGATCCTAAAACTTCAATAAAAAAGAGTTGAAAAGCACCTCAGAGCACTAGCTTATCAGCAACCTTTAGTCCAAAAAAAAAATGACAGGCAATAGGGCAAAACGGCAGCATCTGTTAAATTTGTTATGCTACAATCAGTCATTTCTGTCTATTTAAAATAGTCCATAATTTTTAACAAAAACAATGGAACTTCCTGGGAGAGAGAGGCTCAGGGAAAGAGAGGATGCAAGCTGCCCCGCCCACCAGCACACGTGGATCCACCTGAAGTTCTCTGACTCCCCCGAGGCTCTACAGAACTGAAGGTATCGATGTAACTGTACATACTTTCTGGCGGGAAAACGCATGAGCAGGCTGAAAGCTGATGACTCAGCATGGAGACGGAGCTAGCGCTCAGCTCACTAACATCCAAGCCCGGGCTTCCGCTGCTGGTCCAGCCTGCTGGGGAAATGGGCAAAGTAAGGACAGCCCCTCTGCCTGCACTGCCCACACCCACCCAACCCAGTGTGGTCTGCTGGGCAAGGGAACCAATTCGAGCAAGAAACCAGCAAGGTCAGTGGGTGACATAACCCCTCTTTCACTATTTAACACATCATAAAGTGCTGTTTGAAAGAACTGCAAGTAACACAGAGGTCCAGGCCTTCCTGGTGGTGGCTCACTTCCAGAGTAAGCATCGGTGCTGCTTCAAAGGTGCACTTTTCTATATCGGTCAAGGACATTAACCAGACAAGGCTGTGACTGCTGAATTTGCCTGCTTCCCACCTGGGTTATCATATCCCTCGTTTCTGCCTGCTAGAGTACCTAGCCTCGAGGAGGAAAAAGACATTTGGAGAGGACCTATATGTGCCTGGACAGTTCAGTTGGCTTCCTCACTTCTTCCAGTCTCTCCTCCTCCCAGATGGGAAAATGAGGCACAGAAAAAGCCTGCAAGCCAGCCTGAAAGATCTGCATCTCACCAGGATCCAGAGTGCAGCAGTTAAGAGCGCAGACCTTGGAACCAGACGGTCTCAGCCCAATGCTCAGACCTGGCATCGAGAAGCTGAGTGACTTTAGGCAAGTTCCTATAACAACTCCGTACCTGTTTGCTTTCACTAAATGGTGGTGACATAATATAACATCTACTGCGGGCTGTTATGAGATTTAAAGGAGATTAAGTATTTACAATAGTGCAAAGCACAGTGAAGGTGCAATATGTATTAGGTACTGGTATTGCTATTTAAGATACCATGCTTTTGAGCAAGAGACTTCTCTGAGCCTTGGTGATCCCTGCCTACCTACAGCCACTCTCCTGGGGAAGGGGGGGTGAGGTGGGGTGGGCGGCAAAGCTTAATAGGTATAGTGATTTTTCAAGGCTGTGAACTGGAAGATTTACTAGCCTCTAGATGCTCCAAACCTCTGTACCATCTGTTACGGATGAGAGGTTACTAGAGAGGAGCATATTTTTTTCAAAGTGGAAATATGTATTGAAAGGTAATAGACTTGTGATAATGGTCAATGTAAATAAAAGGAAATAGGCAGCTCAGTCTGTAAGAGGCAACATCTTGGAATGATCTTCATTTGTGGAGAATTCAATTGTT